CCCTCTACGCGACACTGGTTAGGCCACAGCTGGAGTGCTGTGTCCAGTTCTGTGTGCTGCACTTCAGGAGGGATGTGGACAACATTGAGAGGGTCCAGAGGAGGGCCACTGACATGATCCGGGGACAATAAGGAAGACCCTACAATGAAAGACTGGGGGACCTGAACCTGTTCAGCCTTCATAAGAGAAGGCTGAGGGGGGACCTGGTGACTGTCTATAAACTCACTAGGGGGGACCAGAAGGATTTGGGAGAGACCTTGTTTCCCCTTGCGCCCCCTGGCATAACAAGGAATAATGGACACAAATTATTGGAGAGTAGGTTTAGATTAGACATCCGTAAGAACTACTTCACTGTCAGGGCGGCTAGGATCTGGAACCAACATCCAAGGGAAGTGGTGCTGGCTCCGATCCTGGGGGTCTTTAAGAGGAGGCTTGATGCCTACCTGGCTGGAGTCATTTGAGCCCAGGTTTTTCTCCTGCCCAGACTGGGGGTCGGACTTGAAGATCTACAAGGTCCCTTCCGACCCGACTTCTATGAACTTATGTTAAAACTCAAAGACATCATCATGAAATAGGGATTATAACTTCTAATTGTATACTATTTTAGACGAAATTGCTGGAAAAAAAGTGTATGAGACAGGAATTGAACAGTATGCAAAAAGTCTAGAGGAGAAAATTGTTAACCTGAATCTTGATGGGTGGAGAAATGTCCACAATGATGCGGTGATAGGTGCTTGTGTGACAGCAGAAGAAAGGGACCGTCTACTTTACAGAAAAAATTGATACAGCAGGAAATGCACGTAGCAAAATACTTACAAAGTAGCAGTAAAAGCTAGAACAAACTGAAAAAAATATTCAAATGTTTAGTTCACAAGCTTTGCCACAGACAATGCTGCAAATATATCAAAGGTGAAAGAAAATCTAGAAGAAAGTGAAGAAGCCCCCAAATTAGTAACATATGGCTGCAGCGCTCATTTGATGCACCTCTTAGCCAAAGACTTCAGCGCTCCAGAAATAAAGACTAATGTTGCTGAAACTGCAAAACCCTTCCGTAACGACCACTTTGCAGCAGCTGCTTTGAACAAAGTGGGAGGAACCAAAGCAACACTCCCACAAGATGTGCGATGGAACTCAGTGGTGGACTGTTTTGAGCAATACATTGAAAACTGACTTAATCTGATGACAATTTGTCAACAAAATTGTAAAAAAAAATAGATGGAACTGTCATAGCCAAAGTTCTCAACATTAGACTAAAGAGAATTGTAGAAGGTATACTGGCTGTCCCAAAGCCTGTTTCTGTAGCCTTGAACAGAGTGCAGGGAAATAGCTGTTTTATTGCTGATGCCAGTGAAATTTGGAAGCAACTCAGTGAGACCTTGAAAAGAGAAATACAGAATTAAACTACAGGTATTAAAAAAAGAGAACTGATTAAGCACTATCTCCAGCTCATTTTCTTATCAATATTCTCAATACCCGGTCAGTCTTTAACTGCTCAAGAGGAGTTGGCTATGACATGGGCATCCAGCAAAACTGGATGGGCATCCCTCCACAATATCAAGTACAATACACTTCAGGACTAAGGGTGAACCATTCAAGAAATATACGTTTGCTGATGAGGTCTTAAAGAGAGACACACCAGTGAACTGGTAGAAGTCACTTAAGAACCTGGGTCCAGAAACTACTGAAGTGATAATCTATCTCTTAACAGTAATGGCTTCTGCAGGTGTAGAAAGAATATTTTCTTCCTTTGGATTAATTCATTCAAAATTGGGAATTCACTTGGGACCTGAAAAAGCAAGAAAGCTTGTCGTTTTTTTCTAGTGTATGAATACACAGGAAGAGGAAGACTGAGTTTGCTGTGTAACTCAGTATTTTAAGTTTCTCATGTTGACCTGGCTGAAATAATCTATTTAGTTTTTGTTAAAAACACATTTCACATAACTAAAATAGTTAAAAATTAAAAAATGCATGCTTGTTTTGTTAAAATAATTATACGTTTGTTGTTGAAGAAAAAGATCCAAAATACCTACGCATGTTATTTTAGTTAACTAAAACAATGTCATAATTCAGTATTCTGATGCAACTTGAAAATTATTCTGAAAAAGTATCAAAATAAGTCATTGCTTTAAAATGTATACGGTGTACCTTCTAAAAATGAAACCTATATCTGAGAACTCCGAGTTCTGAATAATATGCATTAAGGCTGTATCAAACAACAAGAATGCATTTTTTGTAGAAAACAATGATTCAAACTGAGGCTTCCTAACCAGCAATTTAAATCATGATTTCAATCAAATCCACTCCGAGACAGAGTTCAACTAAAATTCCATCCCCTGAATTATACTTAGTTCTACCGATCGGTATAAGAATAACCAGGTCTTCTCAGTTCTGCTGTTCTTTGGGAAGCTCCCAAGTACCCAGTAAGCCAGGGCTGTCCAACTCCAACACTGGAGCAAAGCAGCACCTGGGAGCTGGATGCGGCCCAGGGGCCACCTGCTGGACAGCCCTGTGCCAAGCTGCCGGAGCTATCCTGCCAATCCATAAAGACAGCACGGTATTAGTAAGTACTGGAAGTGAGAATATACAGCTACAAAGGCTAGGAGCTTCTCAAAACAATAAAACGTATGGTTGATAAATTGATAGATGAGGTACCCAGGTTTTCTTCTCAGGGAAAAAAAAATCCTGTGTCACTGGTGAGAAGATTTTGAAGCCCTCTGTTTATGTTTATTATGTATTTTAAATACTTATCACTAGACAGGAAGTCGAGTGAAGGTCACCACCAATGAATCCCATCTGAAGGTTACCCTCTCCGCTCTCCAATTCAGCATCTGCTCTCTACCCATGTCACAGGATATTGGGCAAACTGGAGCTATGGCCTGGTCCGGTTAATGGCAGTTCTTAAATACTATGCCGTGTGAATCCATAATGCTTACAGAGGCTGTACACAATGAAATGTAGCACACAAATTTAGTGAAAAATAAATTTATTGCACTTAATACTTGTAAGTGATCCCCATCATTACAAAGCTTTCACAGTTTGTAAGGAGAAAACAGTGTTTGTCCACATATTACATCTATTTCAAAGGCCAGGCGATATTTTGTTTTGTTTTCAGTAGCTTCTGCTAAAAAAAAAAAAAAAAAAAAAACACAGCTTTTTAAAGTCACCATGAGTTGTAACCAGGGATCCTGGTGCTCTCTGATTAAAAAAAAACACCCCAATTTTCAGATTGAAAAAGTAACCCAAAATCCACATTGTCCCATGATTAAATGAAACACCACTATATGCACATTTCTATATAAATTAGTGGTGTTTCATTTTAAATCACAGAAAAATGTGGATTTTGGATTAGTTTTTTTAATCTGAAAATTGGGATTTTTTTTTTTTTTTTTAAATCAGAGAAAACCAGGATCCTTGGTTACAAAACTCATAGGGTAAAAGCTAAACAAAACAAGCAGCACTCCTCTACCACTCCCAACTTTAGCAGAGCACAGGTACCTCTTAGCTTTGCTTCTTGGAAGATGTCACTTACAATACAGGGTATTTTGAGGAATGGAAGTCACAATTTATATGAACATAGCTTGCAGGTCTAACCTGAGCACTGTTTCTTGTTTTGTGCCTTCAACTTGATACGGGTGCACATTACAGAACCACCAACATACACAGTGTAACTTATTATTTTGAATATTAATATTCTGTCTTATTTTTATCGCTAGACACACACATACACAAGAAAGTCTCCAAATGTACTGTTTAACGTCGTCGTCTTCTCTTTGGGCGTGGGACCTCTGAAAAAGACATGCAAACAGTTCAACAGCTTGTTAGATTACTTGCTTTTATAAAAAGAAAGCAAAATAAAAACTCATAGCTTACAATTCAATATGTTAGAGAAGTCAAAAAAGCAGCAGCCCAGGAGCCCCATGTTATATTTTGAAAGTTTATTCAAATCAATACTTTGCAAACTCTCTCTGCACATGAACGCCCAATGATTGCCGGGCTTCGTGGATGGAGCACTTCATGAGGCTGGGTCGCAATGTTTTGCCTTCTCTTTGCACAAGGTTTTGTAACAAAAGCTGTTTACCACCTGAAATCACATTCTTAGTTGATGCTGATGCCCTCCATTCCTTCCTGGCTATTTTCTTCTACCTCACTGCTCAAGACCCATGACTAATCCGTCTAAACTGCAATTATTATATCTTAGACCAGCCAATTACATACACACAACACTAGCTACAATTTAATGAGCTGATCTTCAGAGGAAGTTGTACCTTCGCAGCTCTCTGAAAACACCTTCCACTGTAGAGGCAGTTACAGGTGTGCTGCCTCCCCCAGAATCCATTTTTAACAGAGCTCCTATAAACTGAACCCACAGGGGCTCTTTTTCCACATGTTCCTGCTGCACAACCACCCCAACATTTTTTGCTCTAAACCAACTTGGAAAGATGGGTGTACACTTCCAGTTAAAATTAAAAAAAAAAGTCTGCCCAAAAGCTGTCCATCACCCTTCCACTTCACTCTTCTTTCATACTACAGGTCAGATCGCCCTCTCCGTTCGGTCTACGTTAAGTACAACAAAACAGGCTTTCTGGCTGGAGATATCCATTAGAGGAATTCTTCACTGATCCCAGCACTTATTACCCAACCCTCTGCTCCCTATTCTGGAGGAAAGGACATGACAAACTATAGCTCTGTTTTATATAACATTCCTTTGACAAACTAGTGCTGCTCCTCTCAAGCTTCAGGAGGTACATTTCTACTCTATTCCCATTCCATTGTGTCCCAAACACAAGATTGAGGCAGCAAAAAATAAAAATAAAATAATTTTAGATAAGAGATATAGTCCTTACTCTGGATGTAAATCTGGCCCTTGATACCTGGGTTCAACTTTGCAATGAGAGACAAAAGGACCCAAACAGGAGACAAATTTCAGCTTGCCTCACTCCCACAACTGTGAAGCTAGCCACGGCTACGTTGGCCTATGCAACAAAGGGAGCCCGGAGATTGCCATCAACACCTAAAGAAAGGACAACTTCCTTGCTGTTTCCCAGTTGGTCTAATAAAAAGGTATCATTTTGGAACCAAGAGTTCTAGTTTTTTGTATATCAACACCTAAGGCACTCAGAACACTTGAAAGATTTTAATATGATTTTAGTGTCCGGCTAAATGTTGCTAAGAATAAGCACTCTCCTTTTGATCGAGTGACCTCTTAATTCTGACCATGCTATATTGAAAGTTACATCACAAAAGATGCACAGAGCATACAAGACTTTATTACTGTAATTCATGCATTTGCAGGATAGCCTGTAAAGCCTCATGCCAAGTACCTGCTTTCTTATCCTACAGTAGGGAAACATTTATAAAATTCGCCTAGTTTTGACAAGGCTATAAAAAAAAAAATGGAACTGTTGCAACAATACAACGAACAGCGTCCCGAACAACCTGCCTTCTATATGTTGAAAGCTGAAAAACATACGTGCTAAGGTAGTGCTTCTCAACCTTGTTAGACTCAAGGCACGCTTCAGAAAAATGCCAGTTCTTAATTTTTGTAATCACAGAAAAAATAAACCAAATTTTCCTGTTACAAAGAATTCAGAAAGACCACAATAGGTCAAAATGTTTTTAACACTTGGAATTCCTATTTGAAATATCTGGGTTTGCCCCGTGAACCATGTTTAGTGCTAACTTTGGTGACACCCCACAACACCCTTGAAAGAATCTGAAGGTGCTTCAAGATGCTACAGCATCCTAGTTGAGAATCACTGTATTAAAACAAATACAAGATGGTAAAAAGTTATAATATACAAATCTTCAAATTCATTAGGATTTTAGTCATACCTTCTTCACTGGAACTATCTTCTTCTGGGATTACAGGCAGCTTCTTTTTCCCAGAAGTGGTTTCCTTCTTTATTACACCTGCAAAGACATATTTGTGGAAGAATGTCACCAGTGACAGATGTTTTGACAGATCTGATCAAGCAGTCCAGAAAAAGCAGTGCTTATTCAGGCCTGAATGCGAGAGGAAACCTATAGGTACCAGTGATTTATTAGCACCTTCATTAGGTTAACTGCATACAGTTTGTATAGTAGCAACTAGGATATAAATTTAACACATGCTGTAGAAACTTTGAAAGGAAAGTGATTAAGAATGAGGAAGTATCACAGTTAACACACAAAGCACCCAAAGTAGAACAGAATGGGGCTGGAATAAATTACTAAAATAAATTAAATAGTTTAGTAGAACTACTCAGGAATCTTCTGACAACCTTTTTTCCAATCAGCATGTCATCTGTCAAAACTGAAGTCATTTGTAAGTGAGAATGAATTTGGCAACTTCAAAATAAGGTTTGTATTTTCCAGATGAAAAAGTTTAGGACTCCCCTCTTCCCCCAGTGATTTTAATTGGAAAATTCTAGTTAAAATTTATGCTAAAAAGGTTAGAAAAATCAAAACTGCAATACTGCAATGGCTAATCTGATTTTGTTTTCTCAGATTATCTTTTGAAAATTTTTAATTCACTAGATATCCTGCTTCAGAACAGGAAAACTCTTATCCTTAAGCTTTATGAAACTGTTAAAAAATAAGGTTGAGCAATTAATGAAAGACTCATTAAAAATTATACCAACGAATAGAAGGAATGCATGGAAAAAAACACAACAATCCAGACGACATGCGATCTAGGACAGTAAGTTAATTAATTTAGTGAACTACTGACTTATTTTTGGAATATGTGAAGATCAACGAGCAGACCAGAAGAGACATAAATTCCATCTAAATCCAGCATCCTGTTTCTGACTGCCTAGTATTAAGAGGAAGTTAGGAATGCCATCACAATACGGAGATATTGGATAATCCAGTCCACCCAACTGGGTCTCAGGCTTATCTCAACTTGTTACTACATACCTTTGCTACTGAACTCAGAGGGGATAAGCAGATGCTAGATTCTTAAATGGAGTAAATTCATTCAAGAACAAAGTAAGAAATTGGTAAGGTAGAAAAATCTGCATTTGGGTCCAGGCTTATCTATTGATGCTTTCATGAAGGAGGGCCACCCTAGTCCAAAGGAGGAGAACTGACAATGGTTGGACAGTCTGATTCTGACGTCTGACACTCTGGTTAGCAGAGAAAAAAAGACTTAAAAGCATTTTTTCCACATTATTAACAGTAAGAAAACATTTTGGGAAAGAGAACTACCAAGAGGACAGATGAGAGTTCATGTTAGTCACAGTATCCTCCCAGTCTCTACAAGCCTAAGAAGGGAGAAGACAAGTAAACGAGATGTGCTGGTAAGGGAAGTGACAACCATAAACATTTCCATCACCATTTGCTGGTAAAAAGAAGTTAACCCAATTGTCTTGTCTAGCAGAGGAAAGAACAGACTTCCACCTCTAGCACTGCTAATAAAACAAAGATCTACCTCTGCTTGCTGGAGAGCTTTTCTTCCTTGTTGACTGGGGCCTTTTTTGGTTTCTTTTCTCTTTGGGAGATGCCAGTTTTCCCTGATCAGACCCCGATTCAGAAGATTCTAGCTTAACTTGACGATGCCGTCTTGATTTGGAGACCTAAAACCCAGACAAGGCGATAAGCAATAGGAAAGAACCTAGCTTGCCAAGCATAAATACCAATACAGTCAGTAAGTGAAACACTGAACAAATGACTGGATCTCATCCAGCGAGTAACATATTTGTCTGCTACCTAGTGATCACAAGCTCCTAAGAACTGAAGACAGTGAGAGCAAGCCCCAGCATGTTTAAGTGAAACTCCCAAATACTTCAGGTGTTTTTTGGGGGGGGAGGGAGGGAATCTCACTCCATCAAGCATTACCATTTTAGACAGTTTGGACTGTATACTCCCTTTGGGCAATGGTGTGTTTTTGGACATTCATAAAGGAATGCACTGACCTTTTCAGAGGAATGAGATTACCCTATAGTAAATTCATTTCGTACATAGTCACCTTTAAGCAAAACAAGCAGATCAAGATGACGCACGATTTGGCAGCTTCAGGCTACAAATGGAGGTTTTACAGTCTACTTTAAGATGAACCCTTTTTCTTAGTAAAGCTTTAAAAGAAAGTGGTGGTATTTGCTTTCTCAGGCAGCGACTGTTTTAAGAGCACTGCATTTGTTATTGCCAAAGAACAGATCCGCACCCACATAAAATGAGAAAGACAAGCCCAAAGAGACTGTAGGAGTCCATCTGCATCACTTCAAAGTTTTAACAGTTCTAGTCATATATCATGTGAAATGCGACTCATACGCACCCTTTTTCTCATACAAAAACCCCCAACAATCCAGTTCTAATAGCATTTTCAAAAATTCCCAAGGGACCTGGAAGCTTGTCTCTCTTTTAAAAGTAACTTATTGGCTTTCAAGTCCCAAAACTTTTGAGATACCAAGGCCTTAAGCACTCAAACCCACAAAAGCACTTCAGCACAGAAGTGGGATTTTAAGCAAAATGTAGGCACCTAACTCCAAGAGCACGATCCATTAAACCATCCTCCGAAGCCACTCAGGCACCCAAGTTTTCACCACAAAACTTCCATGAAAGGTGTTTAGATGGCTGCCATCTTCTTGAGCTGAGGATCTCAGCCCCTGCCTCAGCCCCCCAGGCTATTTTGGATTCATAAAGCAGTCGTCCTTGAGCCTAAAAAAAATCTCTCAAGGGTTCTAATCTAATAGAGACCACAGTCATATCTGACATTCACTGTTACCTCAATTCATTTTATTGGTAAAAAAAATTGAATGCAATGAACTGCCAGCAGACAGTTCACTCTGAGAATGGAAAGTCATGGAAATCTTTTTCAGCCTGTGCAGAGTCACCAAGCAAAAACAAGCAGGCAAAACTCTGTTCTCAGTTGGCTGCATATGCACAGCTATTGAGAAAGGCCAATTTGTCCCAGCAAACACAACTTTGGTACCAGCCTGGTCACGTGCCAGACTGAACTCAACTTGCTTCTTTGCCTCTCACTTCCACAAATCCAAAAGGAGCCCTAAAAAGTCTCTAAAACTCTTGGATTTTGTGCTAACGTTGGGTGCTAAGATCAGATACCCCAAACAGACAATCAAATTAAAAAGGTGCCTTTTGAAAAACCTTTTTTCTCATCGTTTGACACTACGTGAGTTTCCAAGGCAATTCCCTCTACTAAGTGGCATGCTTACCTCAGCAACTGCTGAATAGGACTTCTGTTTGATTTTAGCCAATGCACTTGCTCTTTCAGAACCCTGCAGAGAAAGAAAAAGATAACCGATACTAAGTTTGGGGACGAAGACATGCTGTGGAGACTAGCAAAGAGCATTTAACCCCTCTGATCACAGAGTGGTTTCCTAAACTGGGGAACCATCATCACTAAATTTAGAGATAAGGAAACTCAGGGCAGACGGCAAGACTTACCCAAGCAGATAAGAGCACATTGGAGAATCCAGATCTCATCTCCTAACAGAGTTGCCAACCCAAGAAATATTTTTTACTGACAGGTCTGCAGGTTTCGTACTGACAGCCAATTTTTTTTTTTTTTTTTTTTTTAATTGATATACATTTAATATACTGTAAATGAAACTTCTGCCAGGCCTCAGTTAGAAGAGCCATGTTAAAATTTCAGGTTTAACTTCAGCTATAGTAAAAAAGTTTGGTTGTTCATAAAACATTCACAGTCAAATTTCTTGGGTTAGCAACCCTGTTTGACTACAGCAATGGTTTTACACTGTCTTGCCCCTGGCCCTAGCAGGGACTCCCTACTCACCCCCAGATCCTGATGTTCCTGACTGCACCCTGCTCCCCCTCATCCTCACTCAGACTACCCTCCTTCTCCCATCCTGGCACAGACCCCGCAAGAAGCCTACCTGTAACCCAAGAATATTAGAGAGAGCCTGGAGCACAGCAGTACCAGAATATGGCTGAGGGAATGCTCCTTGCAGGCTACTGTGCTGCCACACAGACGCCAAAGTACTGCACACCACCCATCACAACTTCATTCAAGCTCTGACTGCTTAGTGTTTTTACTGACAGCTACAGCTGTCCCCACCCCACCCCCCACCCACACTTTACTGGAAGACATTTTTAACTTGATTTTTTTACTGACAATTGGCAAACCTGTCTCCTAATCATGAGCCTTATGCACAGGACAATGCTCTCTCAGCTTTGTAGTTTATTTGTGTTCATATAAAAGGTGAACCTCTTTACCTTTGTATAGTCCAGTCATTTGATGAAGGGCCTCAGAACTCTCCTGCCATGACTTTATATACACAAGGAAACCTGTCATATCACGACAAAGTTTCTTCTTCCTCATGATCAATTACAAAATATAAAATGCATGACAGGCTCACTCTGTTGGAAGGAACTAGCTATACCTCAGGTGGAGTTGGCAATGTGGAAGAGTCTAGATGTCAGTACTTCTCAGTATGCAAACTACTAGACTACAGAATTGCTCAAAGGAAGCGATTTCCCCATTATCAGATAACAAAATTCAATAAGAGAGCACGAATAAGTTAGGAAAGCTGCTTGAGAGACAGAGACTGCAGGAGAGAGATCTTGCAAACTAAGTCACAGGCAGAGAACATTAAGCATGTAAAATATATGTCGCTAAAATAGTGTTCCCTTCATTAAAATAAAGTGTCCAGCTTCCAGAGAAAAGCAGCCATGGCTTTGGTTTCTTCACTGTTAAAAGGGCCTCCACAATGCAAAAGATCACCTCTACAAAGTAAGGTCAGGACCTCTCTTACTAGTGAGCTTACGTCACAACAGAGAGGAGAGGGCTGTACAAACACCAGTGGTACTTCTTCCAGTATTGCAAATGTACTTAAAGGCCTCCTATCCTAACACCAACCCGACCCATCTTACCACTATTTAGCTTCCCAATTTTGTCAAAGATAGACAGGGTTTAACTGTGGAGCAGAGCATTCAGAGTTAAGAGATTATGTAGCAAATGTTTCTTACTTCTGATTCTTGAGAATTCCCTTCATCCGGCTTCTCCGTCAATTTTTCATTCTCTTTAGACTTTAAGAGTTGATTCTGAAAGCGTACAGATATGCAATATTCATTTGACACTTAAATACAAATCAATTTTATTATGCAGATTTCTTAGGCACCATAATTTATAGATGCCAACATAAAATGTATAAGATCGATTAATGTTAAGAACATAACCATTTCTCCTCCCTCCTTGCTCATTCTAAAAAGTCTTTACTTAAGAGCACAGTCATGATGCTAGGAGCCCAAAGCAGCAGTTTACAGCACAAATATTCAAAGTTTACAATGCAATTTTTTCTGTAGATTCTTACTCCCAGGGCTCATACTTCAAAAAGTTATTCTGATTACCACAGAACTACCATTACAGGGGCAAACAGATAATGCATTACTCACTCAAAATCTTTTAAAGGAAAAAAAAAAACTTTAAAATTGAAATGTCTCGTCTACATACTCTGGAGAGGTCATCATACATTTAGGAATAAAGTAAGCTTTTACATATTCATACCATGATTACCTGGTGCCAGGATGAAAGCCACAGGAACCTACCATTTTGTCCTGCTGCCACTGCTGATATTCCAAAATAATATTGTTAACACTAATTACAAAGTCATTCTTGATCAAGCTCAGAGCCTTGTCTGGTTGGGATTTGTCAGTAGAGATCATACATTTCATTTTCTGATAGTGGTTGTGAACATTCATAAATTCCTAAAACAAAAAACATCAGAAGTTTTGTTTGAAATGAGTTGCTGGGATACCAAATGTTAAGTTTGATTGAAAAGGCTATATATTCAAGGGTTTCTTTTCAATGACACTGAACTTGCAATTATTTTAAAAGGAATTCTTGTTAAAACTGGCTGATCAGCTGCTAACAGAAGTAGCAAGTCGCAAGAACACAATTATCTAATATCATCAGCCTACCTACCCCACCAGGAAAGCAAAGAAAGAATACATGTCAAGAAGAAAACTCAGTGGCACTGAATGTGTGGGGCATGTAGCAATTTCATTTCTCAGAGAGATTTTAAGATTTCCTGTCCTGTCATTAGCTACTGATTTCAGTGGAGCATATGTAGAGGAAAAACAAGCCAAACTGGAAGACATCTCAAGTTGGATGACTGATCTGGATGAATGGGCAATGTCATGTTAGGAGGAGATTCCACCCTGCTGCGACATGCTAGGATGTGTTTAGCTGAGTTTAACAGATTATAAAACTTTATTAAGAAAATGTTCAAATGGAAAATGGTATACAATACAGTACAGTTAGAGGACCAGGCCCTTGCGCATGGTAATCACATTTGTACCCAACTGTGGGATGGCACAACACTCTTAGGAATTTTATTAAGCATAAAGTCTACATTTGCCTGGGGTACGGTACTATTAAGACACTCCCCATCCCCCTCCATTTTCCTGCATTTTCACAGTCCCCGAGCTATTTCATGGGGACCCGACCAAATTCGCAGTTTCCGCAAAATCACATAATCGTGAATTTGGAAGCTAGGTGTAGGTAAGTGGGAGAGAGGACCTCACCCATGGTAACCACATTAATACACAGTTGCAGGATGGTCAGGCAGTTACGGTCTTTAGCATGCAGTCTACATTTGCCTAAGAAAAAGCACTGTTAGTAGCATTTTCCCCACTTCATTAGTCTATAGTATAAGGCCGTGGTTCCCAACTTTTTGCTGCGACCCTAAATTGGCCACTAACAGGACCTCCTGACCTGGTGCCATGGGGGCTGCTGAGAGCAGAATGCAGCAGCAGCAGCAGCCCAGACGCAGGGGAGCCACCACTGCCCCCTTTGTGCATGGCGGCTGCGCCCCTCCTGCCTGCCACTCCCAGGCTGTGTGCATGTGTGCGCAGACCCTTTGCAACCCTACTGAGGACCCCTCATGACCCTGATTTGGGTCACACCCCAAGGTTGGGAACCAATGGCATAAGGGAAGGTTCTCTCTGAATCTGTCCCTCCACTCACGTCCAGAAGCTGATCTTAGCTGGCTTTTTCCACTAAAAAAGCCAACAAAAGGAGGAAATGAGCAATGGTTAAGAGTAAGGAGCCTGCTCTGACTGACTACACACAGAGTATCGATATGCCCATCCTCCCTCCCAACAAGGGCAGCTGGAAAGTGAAAATACAAGGTCTCTTCTCCCTCTTGCCCCTTCCCTGAGAACTGCCTTTTAGTTCTGAGCCTGCAAGTCCACTTGCAGCTTTATAGGTCTATAAAACACTTTGCACACAAATGGCAAATGTCACTGCCCTGCCATGAAAATGAAATACAGTGTTTCAGAATGCATAGCTAAAATGGTGATGCACATGTCCTCATTTCTGTTCCAGCCTAAGGTTCACAAAGGACCAGATTATACCAAACAGAGAGCGTCAGCTTTTGGACAAAAGCAATTTATCTGTAGCGTAAAAGTTACTGTACCTCCAAGGTATCACTAGTGATCACGCTGCTCACTCGGTTACTCAGCTCCCGGAACTCTTCTTTCAGTTCTGTCTCTTCAACCCTTTTCTTAACTCTATAGGACAACTACACAAAGCCAGGTGCATTTCAGAAGACACAATAAAGCAAATGCTTCAACATTAGAAAGTTTCTTGCCAGGATAGTCAAAGATGAGACATGCTGGAAGATACAGATCTAAAAGCAAGCTGCCCTGACAATCTACGTGGGTTTATTTTCCTGCGTTCAGCCTTGCAGTCATAGCTTAATGGCTCTTTTGAAGCCATTTTCAAGACTGATGTTCCAACACTACACGAATCAGCTATCAGACATTTAACCCAGCACCCAAACTTAGAACAACTCATTTCTGCAGATTAAAAGCCATTGCAAATTGTAAACCTGTTGGAAGAGTATTTTTTTTCTAATATCAACTGGGTTTTTAAAACAAAATGTATGGCAAGTACATCTCAATTATACTTTAAAAGTTGTGAGTTATATAAAGCATTTGCACCATGGAGTATGGCAGGGACTGGTCTGTTCAGCCTGCAGCCACATCCTGCCTGTGAGAGGTAAATTTGTGACTCACAAGCTCCCAGTTGGGCACCACCCCCACCTTTGCTCTCCTGCTGCTGCACAGCAGCCTCCTGGCTCCCACAAGCAGCACAGCCCCTGGGCACAGGGTCTTGCAGCTGTGAGGGGGAGTGGGAGGGCATCAGCATGGTGCAGCTAGCAGAAGGAGGTGTTGGCAGGGTGGCAGGGGCCTGTGTGGTATGCAGACTGGGGGGGCTTGAGGCCCATAAAGCATGTTGACCCTGGCAAGTTGGACAGCCCTAATGGTGGGTGCTACAAGTGGCACAGGCAGCCTGTGTGTGTTGCATGTGGCAGACCAGGGAGAGGACAGGCAGCACTGTGGCAGATTGGGCAAGGAGCAGAAAGCAGAGCAGCTGACTGGGCAGGGGAAGCAGATCAGAGTGGCACTCAGGAAGGGTGTAGGGTTAATTTGTGGCACCTTTGTCAAAGAGGTTGGCCCCCATTCATCTGTGTTATGGACTGTTGCTGCTGCTGGTTTGCCAGCAGAACTATGGTGGCAAAGGCCCCTAGCAGAGATGCAGGGCATGGTAGCAAAGCGGGGGTGGGGGAGACAACACAGACAGGAAAGAGGGGGATTTCCTGCCAGGTTTACTACGCCACCTCCCTAAATCACAAAAGCTCCGCAGCAGAAGCCTGCTTTCATCAGCACAGCTGGAACCACTTGGGGGAGTTCTGCCTGTAGAAATCTATCAGCTAGAGAGCAAGATATTTTCATATCCCTAGCCAGCACAGGCATGTTGCCAAAATTTTGCAGCACATAAACCAATGACAACTAAAAAATAACTAAAAGCAAGTCTCTTTCAGCACTGCTCAGCTCTTTCTTCACTGATTTTTAATTAAGTATTGTATAACAAATGGGAGACAGAGGGTGAGCTTCTGCAAATAGTTTTCTGTGGTTGAGAATAACTCACTAGTTTGGGCATGGCTGTGAAGTGGAATGCTTTGGCTAGTCGCAGCTTCCTATAAATGTAAGCTGCATCATAATGCTGAGCATCCACCAGATCCTGCTGGAACTTCTGGACTTCAGGCCAATCTCTGAGTGAAATTCTGATCTGAAATAAAGAAAAGAAATCCATGTTACTGATGCACGCATTTCATTCAACATAATATAATCTTAACTGATCCCTGAATCCATATCATGCCATGCCACCAGCTGGAAATCTTCCTGTTTAGAACACAAATATGACAGAAGTGACCTCAGGTAGAGAAAGAAGGCATTACCCCACTTAATTCTGTTGTGTTTAGTGGTCTAAGTTTAGTCAAGCATTTCAAAAACAATCAATGGAGCTCTTTGTAATGCTGATTAGTCTAGTCCTGGGGTGGGCAAAATATGGCCCACAGGCTGGATTTGACCTGCCAAATGATTTTATCCAGCCTGTGGCTGCTCCTCTGAAGAAGAATTGTATCTGGCCTGTGGCTGCCCTGGTTTTGGCACCTCTTGCCCTTCTCCATTCCCCATGCCAGCTGGCTGCAGCAGCCACCACTTCTATCCCTGGCCCAGCCCGCTCTGTCTCACTCCAAGGAAGGGGGTGCCAAGCTCCTGGCCAGACTTCTGCCTGGTGAGGCTGTCTGCACCCAACCCTGCAGCCCTTCACAGACCAGACAGCCTGCCTTCCAGCAAGTCAGAGCTCAGGTAAGGTTCTCCCTGCTGGCAGGGGAGGGGGTGCAGGGGAACGAGGACCAGGAGATGCAGGTTAACCATGCTCTGCCAGGCTGGAGCCTGGTAGGGGAGCAGGTGCTGCCAACATGGTGCCACACTCTGTTCCCACACACTGCTTCAGGCTGTGTGATGTGGGCACAGCTGGAGTGGCTGGCATGGCTCCTGACCCAACCCCAAGTCCCCAGCATGCAGTCAGGTGGGGCATGAATGGAGCCAGGCGCATTTAACGTGGCCTACAGCAGCGCGTAGGAACACAGCACCAGTCCAGCCTCAAGCTGGGGACTCAGGGAGAAGGTGGAGAAACAGTGCAGCACCATCCCAGCCAGACTTGGATAACCCATGGCTCCCAACCCCTGCCTCCTTGCACTCTCCTCCCCAACCCTTAACTCCCAGCATGCAGCCTGGTTCGGCAGGAACCGCTCCAGATTCACTCGTGTGACCACAGGCAGTGCACAGGAACACAGCATGGCACTGGCGTAGCTTTGTGCTAGGGGCAGGGAGAAGGGGGAACAAGGGTTAGGTCCCCCTTACCCAGGGGTGGGCAATTATTTGGGCTGAAGGGCCACCCAAGAAGTTTTGATGAGCTGTTGTGGGTAGGGGAGGTGGTGCTGACCCAGCCCTCAACAGCTCAAAGCTCCCTAAACGGCTCTCCAGCCCAACTAATTGCCCACCCCTGTTCTAGTTTCAATTCACATTTGGAAGAGCAAAAACTATTTAATTTGAAGTAAAGGAGAGTCTCCCACATAGCTCAGACGTGCACTATATTAAAGTTGTGAAACTACTTTAGCTCATGTTTTCTCCTCTGAAGCAACAGCTTTGCCACTATTTAAGCTCTCAGGGCACCTGTACATGTGCCTTCTCTAATCTGACACCCAATAATTACCATGGGGAGCTTCAAAGTGTCTTGCTGCCATTTTGAAGCATGGGAATGCTGAATACACATGATGCTGCAGGTGCTTTATTTAGAGCAACTCCTGAGAGCCACTCTAATTTAAGCACACACCCCCCCCCAACACCCACTCACACCTCGGAGAATGGGTAAAGATGTCCTCAGACTTTACTGTCTTAAAGCCTAGTTTTCTGAAATAGGCTATTTGCCTATAAAAGAGAAATAATAATCCTTTCCGGCTTTGGTAACAAAACACACAAAAAACACCTTAAAACAAACTTTTAAAACCCTAAAAAAATTACCTTCTGCTTTGGCTGACAAAGTTGTGTATTATACAATCCATACAGAAGATACAGTGCACCAACTCGAATCTGAAAAGTGTACGGAGGCAAGAAGTACTGACGTGCCAGATCCAAAGCTTTCTTTGTAAACTTATTCAACTCTAATGGCCTTATTCTACCACTAAACGGAGAAAGAGAGAGAGAGAAATGCATTAGAGAAAATAATGATGGAACTACAGTTTTTAAAGATGTTCACAATATACCAACAATCTGTATCAGAATAAATGTCCAATTTTAACTAGCAAGTATTCAAGGATAGTCCATCTTAAAGCTCTCAAATCTCACCATGTCTTAAACAAAGGGTCTACATTCTTAAAGATGTGATAAGCTAAAATCCCATACGGTGAGTATAGGATATAATATCCGAGTCTTCAGTGCTCCTGCATACAGCATTAGGTTCTTGCACTGCTAGGTGTTCTTTATATTACGCCTGGCCCACATGGCAAAGTTTTGTCCATAGATCTCAAGTGCTGTTGAAAAAGGCTCGTGTGTGTCCACACACAAGATGCCCATAAGATGGCAGATAGCATAAACATGCAATAGCTCTCAGTGCCTCAGACGAAGCACTTCTTACAGACAAGAGCAGGCTGCCAAGGTGGTAATCTCCAGACTTTGGCTCATGTCTGGGAACTGCAGTTATGTTGCTTGCAAAGATTGGCAGGCTGAACAAAGAACATTTTTCATCCCTTTGATCCTCCAGGACAGTCTTCAAGTGCTCTAGCAGAAACTTCCTCCTCTGCTCCTTTGGATGCCTGGATATAGAGCTTTGTCTCTTCCCCTATTATAAAGGACTTATTTCTGAGCAGGTCAGCAGAAACCATTACTGAGAACAGGTGGGTAACAAATAGGTCTAGGCATCTTCCAGGCCCCTGCAGCCTTTGGTCATCCTCTACAAGGAAATATTGTTGACAGCTACAACCACTATAGCAGCCGTGGGGCAAAAAATGGAGGATCTGGCTGCTGGTTGGACTTCCTTTCACAGCAGCCCCTATCCGATCTCCATGGAGGCTCCAGGGGCGCGACAGCAGGGGGCTGCACAACCGGGCTCTGCTGCAGCCTGGCCTGGCCCCACAATGTCATGCCCCCACAGTCTGCATGGAGACTGGCGAAGAAGGAGCTGCTCCAGGGCCAGGATCCTGCAGTGGCAACAGCTCAGGGCAGGGCAGGCCAGAGCTACGATCCACTGCCTGCACATCCCTTCCTGCGAAACCCTTGCCCATCACAGTGGATCACAGCTCTGCCCTGGCCCCACCCCATGCTGCCACCACCACAAAATCTCAGGGTCATCCTGACCCTGCCCACCCATCTTGCTCCCAGACATAACCCCATCCCAGCTGCTCAGCCACACACCCTGCCCGCATCAGTTCCACCCCTGGTGGTGGTTCTGGGGTGGACAGGCCAGGGCACCCAGGGAGCAGAACTAGGTCCCATGGTGGCAGCCAGGAGCCACCACCACAGGGGCTGCTGGGAAATGCAGTCTGCCACAGGTTCAACTTTGCCCACCGCTGCATTACAGGGATGCTTGCTTTTCCTCAAGTCAAACACTGCCATGAAACATTTCCATGGAGCACATGACTGTCCTGCTTGATTGGTAGCTAGGCATCTCCTTGCTGTTATATCCAGACTGCCAGAGTATGGTTTCATGAGTCAACGAGGCATTTCAACATCCCCAAGCAAATCAATCAACTACAGAAGAAAGTTCCCTGCTGCAACTCTTGGAAGAGGACCATGCACCAAAACATGCAAGCGTTATACATGTTATCCAGCCCATTAACATCCATAAACAAGCCTCTGTGATCCCCACCTCCTGCATTACCATGACGTGCCCCTTCCTATTGTCCTCAGAGGCCAGTGATGAGGGACAAGATAGGCATATGTGTCCCATCTACTGTCCCACCAGTTTTGTCATCTCATCACTTGCGACTCCTCAGCTATTTCCTCTACGTTGCTGATATCATACTCTTCTGCAGGAAGATGTGCCAGATGGCTTTGTACATCTGAGTGATGATGGTCCCAACACTGGACTTCCCAATCCCAAACTGATTTCCTAGGGAGCAGCACCAAGCTGGGGGTGCCACTTCACATATTTTCAATCAATTGTACTTAATTACTTTAAGTCAGTCTTATCTCCATGTCAGAGCACTAAAAAGGCAGGGGAAAACTCAACATACAACTTAAGAAAAGTTGCCTTCTACAAGCAAGTTTTGCACCCACCGCTGCTTCATTCCAGACCTGCAAAACTATGCAATCCCAAAGGTCAACTCTCATCTCTTAAACCCAAAACTGGCTTTGGGTGGTTTGTAAACAACTCCATAGCTCTTAACGGTTTGCTGCTGTTTCCACTGATTCTTCTTGTACATCCATTTTTTCTCCCTGGCTGCTCAGCATCTCTGCTTGTTGATCCTACTGGTCAAGTGATGAAGATATGAAGTAATGGCCTGGGTTCATAAAAAGGAAAGTCTTTATCAGACTGCAAAGTCCATCAGAATCCAACCTGGTGGAGGAAATATCTCAGGCAACTGCAATGACACTTTCCAGCTACAGTAACAATTTCAAAAACACCAACCAGCAGGCAAATGAAGAGAGTTATTGAAGAGGCAAAGACAAAAGCATTGCATGAGGATGATGCCTGTTGCTTAGAATTGTCTTAGGGCAACCTCCACATCCCAGACCACACCCCTCCCACATCACACTGCATGCACGGCAAATGCTTTCCCACTGGGTACTTCACACCCCACTGACTCGGTTACTTGTAGCAAGGATGCAGTGCCAGCACAAGCGCCATAGCACGTATGAGCTCTGGTGCCTTAAGAAGTGCTGACTGGTGTGGACTCATATAACTTTTGTCATGGGAAACTCCTACCATAGGCAAGGCCTTATTGCTAGAGGTGCACTAATACATCAGTCCAATATCGGATTGGCACTGACATAAAGAAAATTGTCTATATTGGAAATTGGCCTAATGCGGCCAATAATTTGGCTGACAAGTGGCCCGTGCATGCATGCAGCTGCAGCACAGCACATAGGCAGTGAGAAGCACAGCCAGCAGCATGGAGAGCTGTGCACAGCTGGTAAGTCAGTTCATGTGGAAGGGGAGGGGGGGAGGAAGGGAAGGGGTACGAGGGGGCAAATCAAGGTCCCCACAGTGAAGAGTGAGTGGGGCAGGGGCTGGGGATGAAGAGAAGGGGTGGCTCCTGTTGCTGTGTGCTGCTTGTCCGGCAGCTCCCTCTGCTCATCCGGGAGGGCATGGGGTGCATGTGCCCCCCCAAATCTGCATGGGGTGGGCAGCAGCAGTGCTGGGAGGGGGGCTATGGGGTGGCTACAGTGATTTTTGGGGTGGCTGCAGCCCCTGTCCCAGCACTGCTGCTGCCTGCCTGGCGCTGCCCTGGACCCAGCCCGTAGCAACAGGCCACCCCGCCTGTGCCCGGTGCAGATACAGGAGGCAAGTACTTATCCCCCCCGTACCTTTCTCAGGCTGCCCCCCCCCACACTCCATGACTCCCCTCTGCAGCTTATCTGAACTTAGCAGCGCTTCACTATTTTTTTTTTTTAACGTGGAAAAAAAACCAGAACAATTTCTGTTGCAAACAACTCAGAAAGCCGACGATGGGCAGAACAGTCGGGGCACTACAGATTCCCATCTGAAATCTCTGGCTAAAAATACACACACAGATGCCTCTTTTAGTTTGGGATCTTAGACATACAAATTTATTGTTCCATGTTAAGTACCCACGAAACACTCCCCCCCCGGACAACTCGGGCTAATTAAATATCATTCAAGTAAAGGACTCTGGGCAAGGTTTGTGTCAAAGCCCAGGATACTCAGTCCCACCCGGCTGTTTTTAGCATCTGGGCTTATCTTGCAAATTGTGTCAGGACCCCATTGTGATGCATGGGGGAGCAGTACCAGCCCCTAGGACCTAATCCTGGCGCATGGGTGCAAGGGGCTGGGACCCCATTGTGGTACATGGGGGGGCAGTACTAGTCCCTAGGACCCAATCCTGGTGAATGGGGGGCAGTGACCCCAAAATAGTGCACGGGGGATAGTACCAGCCCCAGGACCTAATCCTGGTATGTGGGGGGGCTGGGACCCCATCCTGGTGGATGGGGGGGCAGTAACAGCTCTCAGGACTCAATCCTGGTGAATGGGAGGGGCAGTGACCCCAAAGTAGTGCATGGGGGGTACCAGTACCAGCCCCCAAGACCCAGTCCTCTCACGCGGGGGCAGCCCCGGGACCACAGGGCCGGCTGCAGCCCAGGTGCTCGGCGCTGCAGGAGGCGGGGCGGAGGGGCACTCACTGGAAGATGGTGTGGAAGCGGCGCTGACGCCAGAGCTCAGTGAAGGTCTCGAAGCGGACGCTGTCAGTGGCCTGGAAGTCGTCGAGCAGCCGCTCGCAGTCCAGCTGTAGCCCCGGCGGGCAGCTCATCCTGGCAATCAGCAGCCGCAGCACTGCGCATGCGCCAACCCACCCGCTCCGCCCCACTGCACCTGCACTGCACCTCGTGGACGGCTCTGCGCATGCGCACCTACCCCCCGCCAGTGTACGCGTGCATGCGTACACGCTCACCCTCCCACCCGTTGATACTTTCTCCCTCCTGCCTGTCCTCGCCCTACTTCCCTGGGCGCATGCGTACACTTTCAGGCCCTCCGCTAAATCCCTCCCAGAGCGCATGCGCACACACTCATCCACTTCCCCACCCTCCTACCAAGGCGCATACGCCCATGCCCAGAATCCCACCAGGCACTCCCTCTCCAGCGCGCATGCGCACGTGCACAAAAACTCTTCCTGAATGCAGGGCTCAGGGAAGGTGCCTTTGTGCGGTGACTCTGGTGCTAGGACCGGGCACCTGCCTTCTGCCTGTGGCCATGTGGAAGCAGGGCTGAGCCCCCCAGACACCTGGTGCAGCCTCCTGGCGCTGGCAGGCTTGGTCCAAGGGCAGGGGGTCTCCCCCCGCACGACCTGTGTAAAGGAAGGGCAACGACGGGTGCTATCTTGTTGGAGACAAGGCCCATCCTGGCGTCAGGCCTTGCTCTCCGCAGCATCCTGATGCCTCCTCGGGTCCCCTCGGCGCCAGAAATAACGGTCTGGGTGGAAACGAGCCGCGATCCCGCACACGCAGCCCTCGTGGTCGAGGGTAGTCTTGCGTTGAGCATAGATGATGGATGGTACCTAAGATGAAGTTGGTTGCTTATTCCCGGTTCCTTTCTCAAAGCTAGTCCAGACCGCTCTCGGGGGCACACGCGCAGCTGGCTAGGAGCATTACAGACGCACAGACAGCCAGACTAAGCCTTTTATTATATTAATGGATATGGGGCTGCAGTTAGCAGCATGGCATGAAGAAACCTCACTCTGGGCTGGGCAAGACTCTGGTCAGGGATGTCTGGGGGAGTCCAGCGGTGCCACAGAGGTGTGGCGTGGGGTGGCCAAGAAGGATTTCCATTTCTAATCCCAGCCCAAAAAGAGTTCCTTATTCAAGCCTTTGTCCTTAGTAGTCGCTGGGGAGGGGGCTCTGAGTTGACAGCGTGGCAGAGCCAAACCGCACTTTGGGCCGGACAGTCCTCTGCTGGGGGATGCCTGGGAGAATCGCCCAGTGCCACAGAGTCGTAGAGTGGGGTGGCCCAACAAGGATTTCCATCTCTAATCCCAGCCCAAAAAACAGTTCCTTATTTAAACCATTATACTTGGCACAGTGGCTGGGGGGCTGTCAGATGGCAGCTGGGCACGGCCAAACCGCATTTTGGTCCAGGCAAGTCTCTGGTCAGAGATGTCCACAAGAGTCCTCTGGGGGCACAGAGCTATGCCATGGGGTGGCCCAAGAAGGATTTCTAGCTGTAATCCTAGCCCAAAAGCCTGTTGCTTATTTGGGTCCATATATCTAGCACAGGGGCTGGGGTGCTGTCACTTAGCACCCGGGCATAGCCAAAACCACCTTTTGGGCCGGGCAAGTCTCTTGTCAGAGATGTCCAGGAGAGTTCCCTGGTAGCACAAAGGTAAATCAAGGAGTGGCCCAAAAAGGGTTTCTCAGTATAATCCCAGCCCAAAAGCCAATTCCTTATTCAAGCCAATGCATTTTGTGCAGTGGGAATGGGGGGCTGGCAGCCTGGCACTGCCAAGCTGCGCTTTGGGCCAGGCAAGTCTCTGGTTAGAGGTGTCCAGGAGAGTGGCCCAGTGCACCAGAGTCATGGCGTGGGGTGGCCCAAGAAGCATTTCTATCTCTAATCCCAGTCCACCAACCAGTTCCTAATTCAAGACCATATATTTAGCACAGTGGCTGGCCTGGTATGGCCAAACCACACTTTGAGCCAGCCAAGTCTCTGTTCAGAGATGTCCAGGAGAGTCCCCTGGTGCCACAGAGGTGTGTTCTGGGGTGGCCCAACAAGGATTTGTAGCAATATCCCCAACCCAAAATCCAGCTCCTTATTCAGGTCCATGTATGTAGCACAACGGCTGGGGTACTGTCTGTTGCCAGCCTGGCACGGCCAAACCACACTTTGGGCTGGGCAAGTCTCTGGTTACAGATGTCCAGGAGAGTCCCCCGGTGGCACAGAGATATTTTGATGGGTGGCCCAAGCAGAATTTCTAGCCATAATCCCAGCCCGAAAGCCAGTTCCTTATCCAAACCCTTATACTTAGTGGGCGTGGGGGCTGTTAGTTGGCAGCCTGGCACAGCCAAACTGTGCTTTGAGCCGGGCGGGACTGTGGTCAGGGTTCTTTGGGACAGTCCCCCAGTGGCATCGACAGGAAATTTGGGGTGGTTTAAAAAGTATTTTGCCCCATAATCTCATCCTAATCTGACCTTCATTTAGGGTTTTGTGCTTGATGTGGGATATTATTTTACATATTAGTTAGTACATATGCATAGCTAATGAAATTCTCTGTCTTTAGGATGTGTCATTCATTAATAACAAGTTTTTACTGGGTGTGGATTAGCTTTGAAAAAGGAACCAGGAACTGGGAATAAGGAGTAAGAAACTGGGAATAACCCTCCCACTTCAGACTCATGCTAAAGGCTACTTCGAATCCCTCCCACTGCGAACAGTTGTGCTGGGTGAGGGGTCACAGAGAGCAGACGTGACACTACCCTCGTCACCACTTCTTTGCTTGCAGGCGGCTATAGACACCGGCCTGCCTGAAGTATTCTGGCCAGATGGCACCGGTGGGCTTGGATGTTCATGGTGACCTCTTGTTCCTGCACAGGCATATTTGAACAACCATGGGCAGATCTAGGATTTTGAAAAGGGGGGGCGGTGCAGACCATGCCATGCATCATTGCATATAACACGACCATTGGCGATGCGTAGGGGGTGCACGCAGGTGCACGTGCACCCCTTGAGATTGGCCACTGCTGATGCTGCCGGTGGTGCCTGCAGGCAGCTGCCACTCGCCACCCCTCTGCCCTCGCCGCCAAAACTGCCACCAGCATCTGTGGGTGGGTGGTCTCGCCACCCCCCGCCAACGCTACCGCGGTGGCTGCCTGCAGGAGCTCCCCGCCACCACGCCACCGCCACTGCCTGCAGGCGGTTGCCATGCCCCCCAGACTCCCGGGGCACGCAGCGTTCATGAACACACCATATAATTTTCTGCGGGGAAAAAGAAACTAGAAGCTTTACTAATCAGCTAGGGGCCTACTCAGCTGAAGATTGAAGCCAAAATAAATAGAAGTTTATTGGAATGTGTCCTCATTTGCTATATACTGTATTTACCGTATAGACCGTATTTTAAAAAAATTAGGCAATAAGTGCTCAAAAGATTTTATTTCATTAGTGCTGTAGTCATTGCGATTCAATGCACATCTCTTCCAGATTTGCACAAAATCAAACCTTCCTGAGCATCTTGACAGCACATCTAAAGCGTTGCTGAAAGTTATTTCCATGCCCGAGTTACTGTTTTTTGCTAGAGGTAAAAATAATTTGCAGGGCTACATTACCAGGGCCAGCGAACAGGCAGGAGAAGGCAAAATAAATCATGTTTTAATTAGTGGAACTTCAGAGCATTAAGGAAAGGAGAAAGGGTCAGTAATACGTCCAGTGACTCCCTCGGTGCTGCTGGAAGAGACATGCTGCTGCCAGACAATTTTTGGGAGCTGGGATTTCTGGGATGGGAGCTGCCAGACAATTTTTTGTGTTTAAACAGTGGAGCAGGGATCAAAGGGTGGGGGCCGACTGCGCCCCCCGCCTGCCCCCGTCACGACTTCTGCCGCGGGACGGCGGCCTTCCTGGCCTCTCCGCTCCGCCCGTGGCGGGTTCGGGTCGTGTTTGGCGTTGCGTCAGGGTTGAGCGCCTGTGGTTTTGCCAACGGGTTGGTTAGCGGAGGTGCATGGGATGACTCGGGGAGGAAGAGGCCCCTCAGCAGCTGGACTAGACGAAATACGGAGGCGTCTTCCAGCCCCGTCTCTCCGCCAGGCGAGGCGAGGTTGCCCTGGCCCTTCGTGGCAGAGGGCCGGGGCCGCGGGAGAGCAGGAAACCCTCGGGCCAGGGAAAGGCTGCGCACTGGGGGCGCGTTTCCAGTCCTCCAGCCGCCAGCGGCCCAGCTGGAAGGCAAAAAATACCAAGGTAACCTGCCTCGAAGACCACGAGCCCTGACTCCAGAGGAGAAACCAAACGTGTTTCTTCCTCGCCCGTAGCCGACGGCCTCCTGCGGAGAAACGCGCGGGCATTTCCTTACGGGGATGAGGGGATTTGCTATAATCCGCCCGGCATCTCCTCACCGCGCCCAGCGCCGGCTCCAGCGGCAACGAACGGGCGGGCGCCCGCATGCACGCGCACACGTAGGCGGCGGCTGCCGGGGGCGGGGCCGG